GATATATTGTGTAGAATATAATTGACATATTATCATAAATATTTGATAATAAAATATTTTCTATATTATGTCCCGTGCATCGCACGGGATGCAACACTAGTGAGTAGAAAATAGAGGAAGATGTTGTGAAATGTGTGAAAAATCTGATGTAGGGGTTATGAATAGTGCTTTTTTGGATTTCTTTTTATTTTATTTACTGGAACCGTTGGGTCCAGGTCGATCGAATCTTAACTGTTGGATCTGAACGGTCAAGATTATCTAACAGTCAGATTTAAAAAACTAACCGTTGGCTGACGGTTTCGGTTCCGGCGGGCCGGGTCGAACTCGGAACAAACCCGGAACCCAAAAAAATCTGACCGTTGATTTCCAACGATCAATAAGATCCAACGGTCCATATTAGCGAGCTGCAACTGATCAATACCGCAATTAATTGGCTGATTGACAAAGACAAAAACACATCGAAAAAAAAAAAAAAGAAAGAAAGAAAAACGCAGTATTAATAAATGCTCATTAGATTAAAAAAAAAATAATAGTCTCAATATTTATATAAGTGAAGATCAATGTATTGTACAAATATATCCGTGCGACAATGATCAAAAGAATGAAAAAAAAAAAAAATGAATAATCTTCAGTCCATCAGTAGTTTATCACGAGAGCCAACAGAGACAGAACCAATGAGGCGGCGACCACCGCGCCGGAGACCGCAAAAGAGACACCACCGGCGGCGCCAGGGACGGGCGACGGCGCCGGAGCAAGATTGTCGAAACCCCCTTGAGCAAACGCACAAGACACGGTCGCCATGACGGCCAAAATCATCAACATCACGGCCTTAACCAACGCCATTCGATCGACTTAAATAAAAATTCACAGATAATATGTATAAAATAAAATCCGATTGATGATGCCTTTGAGGTATGGGATTGAGGAGGGTTTATATAAGGTTTGTAAAATGAAAATGAAGGCGTGTGGGACCCAGCAGAAGCGTGGACAGCTGGCGATTCGGTAGGTACATGTTGAATAAGTAAGGATTTTTTAGTTCAAAAGGTTCCAGCTTTAATTCACATTTGGCTTTATTATGACTAAATTTCAAAAGGTGCCATTGAATAAACCACAATGATGCGTGAAAATGTGGACGACGCGAACGAGCACGTTGAGACACGAGGCACAGCTCACAGCTGGTTGGTTTACCCATTTCTTGCTGTCTAAGGGAAGATTTCCCTACTATTTTATCTTATTTGTAAATAAATTAAAAAGAAGTTTTGGCTTGTAACCGCCCCGAATTTTATTAATAAAGAAAAGTACTAGTTTTTAGATGTAAGCTAGACTTTAATAATAAATATTCATGTTAATGTTCAAGTCTAAGTTATTCAGCTAATTAAGTTTCAAGTTCGACGTTAAGTCAAAGATATATCCGGTTAATTTTATTTATTAACCGAGTCAATAATAGTTATTAATCTCAGTACGTTTGTGTAAATAAATGGACATCAGTGAGTTGAGATTAATTAATCCAGTATTGATATGTTAATCGAATTGAGAATATAAGATTAATCGTCAAAGTTGAATTCAAGCCAGTTATTGAGTGTCAGTTTTAAGTTCGACTATTAGTCGACAACATATTCGGTTTAATTATTTCAGTTACCGAATAAGTGTTTAGATTTAATTCCAATTCCTTTATATAATAAGTGAGTTTGGAGTTAACAAGGTTAAGTCGAGGTTATGTTCGAATTAATTTTCGAAGTCAAGTTTCAACCAAAATTAAGAACGTTCGGTCCAAGATTAAATTCTAATTAAACTCCAAGTGTATAGATCATGCGCAATTGTCCATTGATGTGTTTATGCATGAACATGCTCCAATTAGCTTATTAATTGGCCAATCTTAAGCTTAATTGCCGAAAGGTTGCCTTAGTTCTTTACGGTGCAAGTGGCGTGAATGAGTTATCTTTACTTAGCTATGTAGCATTCTTTTAAGCACTCACAAGATGACTAAGCAACCTAGGTGATGACTATGCTAATAAAACCCCACCTTGAATGGAGAAGAAGGCAAGTGGCACCACCATAATTTTCCATGCATTTTCATTTTCATCTCTTACCTATTTAAATTATAGTAAACGTGCATGAAAAATTGGTCATGCAAAATGGAGTAAGAGAGAGAGAGAGAGCACATGAGAAAATACAGCTTGTACTAGTCTTTAGCTAAGGGAGCTCACGCATGAACCGAGCTTGCAAGCAACAAAAGCACACGCACACTATCGATTGGTAGCGAACATTCACACAAAGCTTAACACCAAGCGTTCGAAGGGGTAATCTCATATCGATTCTCTTTTAATGTTTATGTGATCATTTTATGGAGATTAAGTTTAAATCATGTAGTTAAATTCATGACCAAGTCATAATGTCTCAAGGCCGTACTATTTAGGCTATGTCAAGCCATGTCTGATGCTATTCGGCAACTCCCAAGCATAATTCGTTCATTTAGTCATTATTTGATTTATTATGTTCAGTTAATTAAAGTTTGTCGAGGAAAAGACATCGTTGTGTCAAGAGTTGGCCAAAGCCGTCGGGTACCGCACGTAGCGGAAGCCACGGCCCTCTTAATTGCTCGAGTTATGTTCGTGTCATCCGACCATTTTATTGATAATTATTCATATTGTAGTCAGTTATGTTGATTCATGTGAGAAACGGTCGAAAGAATTGTC